AGGGAATGTTGCCCTAATATCACTGCAGGCAAAGTCTGTTCCCTTTTGGAATATTCCACCAGAAACATATTCCCAATGGACCCTTCTAGTGGGTTTTTTTCACTGGATGAACCCTGGATTGGTTTAAAGTACAGTTTTCAGTAGTTTCTGATTAAAACTCATAATTGCTACATTATACAGCCTTGAAAATGAATAAGGAGCAGATGGTGGCAATAAACCTGCCTTCTTAAAGTTAATGATCCTGGATAAAAATTGTTTTTTCAATTTTTTTATATTTATATTTTAGTCATAGGTGAACACAATATCTTTATTTTATATTTATGTGGTGCTGAGGATTGAATCCAGTGCCCCATGCATGCTGAGCCCCAGGCCCAGCCCCTGTTTTTTCAATTTTTAAATTTTAAAATAGGACTTCTTCCCTATTTATTTTACTATTGTACCTCTCCTTTTCTATTCCAGGTCCAGCTTTGCAGATTAATTCAATAGCACTAAGAATACCATAGATAAGTTCGAACAGACCAATAATGAACACAGAAAGTTGCTGATTATTTTGCTGGTTTAAGAGAAAAGAGATGAAGCACAGGAAGAAGGTGACATTAAACCAAGCTCATGGGAGCCAGTACTTAAGTGGGTCCATCTCAGGGGATTCAGAGCCAAAGAAATCAAGTGAGACTTGCTAGTGATATCATGGCAAGCGGTCACCAGCGAAGGAAGTGAGAGAGTGAGAAATCATGGTAAAAGGAAATGTAAGTGCAGGAGGAAGAGCCGGGCTAAAATCAGTTCCCATACCCGTGTTTATCTGATGCTGGGGTTTCCTCTAGATCTGGTACAATCCATTCAATGGGTGAAACCCAGATGAATATATGGTATCAAGAAGAAGCTCATCATAGCTTCTAAGAAACCATGGTTTCCAGATACCTTCATTGAGGAGCTGTAAGTGTCAGATCTGGGGAAAAAAAAAAAAACAAGAAGGAAACCACAGAAGGGCACCGGTAACAAGTTGTGGCTATTCGAAGTCTCAACTTAGAAAAGAGCAGAATCTGAACTGAATAGCTTATAAACCTCAGACTTTGGTGATAGAAGGGAGAAGTCAGATGAGTGGAGATGGAGTCCAGGAATTGGGGTGACCTGAGAGAGAAAGGTCAAGTCTGCTGGGAACTTCACAGCATCCACCTCCCTGTCTGTCTCACATGCAGCCTGGACATGGATCAGAAATCTACAGGTCTTGTGGTTTATGTTCACAGTAAAGATTGCATCAAATATAGAAGGTCAGTGCTGGAGGCTGGCATCTGTTACTTGGACATCTCTTTCCCCTCTGATGAACAGAACTGCAACTCACCTTTGGCTCTGACGTTTACACAAGTAAGGGAGGCTCATTAAAGTAGACTGTAGAGAGGCAGAAATGGGGCTTTGAGTGAGGAGAGGGTACAGTGAAAGAATCTCTGAAAGGGGTCTGGAAGCTGAGCGTTGAGGAATTCAACAATGTAGGCAAGAAGCTTGGGAGCATTTGTGCTGGGTCTTCTTTGCAAGACATAGAACTGGCATGGTGAAGAAGTGCAGGGTGCTTTCCAACACCTCACAGAATCTCATTTGGAATAAGGGGGAGTGGATGCTTCTGGCGATCCATCAAAGATCAATGCAGATAATGGTGGGCACCAACCAGTATGCATTTTCTGCATGAGCTTAGGGGCCCTGGTTTTGGTCTTATATAATTTATAGCTTATGTCCTCTATTATAATGTAAACTCTGTGGGGGGAGGGGGTTTGTCACATTTTTTACTGGTATATCACTAGTGCTAGAATAATATCTGATTTTCAGATAATATTCATTAAGTAATTTTTCCCTTGAGGAAAAAAACAAAGTCTCTGTGTCAGTGATTTAAAGTAGGGTGAACCTCCCTTCCCTTAAGGACTATCAGAACATTTTTGGAGGGCAGGAATCTTCATGTTTATTGTTTTACAGAATATGGTGGGAAGAGTTATAAGCACAGTCTTAGGAATATTATGATTCTATATCCTGAAAAACTCTCAGTATCTCCACTGTCTAGTTTTCCTCCCACTGGTCTTGAGAGTCTACCAGTGGGAACAAGCAGAAATAAAAGATGAAATGCATGTGATTCCAAAGCATGTGTTCCCACAGTCTTGCTGAGAACACATTGGTAGTGGAGAAAGTTGACAGGGTCAAGAAGGAGTCAGATGCATTTGATGGTAAGCAGCATGGCAAAATCAAACCCTGTGATGCCTTTGGATGGAGAGAGGGGACACCAAAAGAGACATGAGGTGCCGTTTCCTCACTAGATAGTCAGGCCTGGGATAAATCCCAGCGGTTGCTCTTATCTGACTTGGCAGCTTCCCAGTCACCCCTCACTTGAGCCAAGCCCAGGCTCTATGTGATAATGCCCAGGGGCTTTCTGGTGGCCACTGATGCCCTCAGCTTCTGCCTGAAGGCAGAAAAACAGAACTGTGCCCCATTCAAGATGACCTTTCTGGCCAGGCAGCTCAGGAGACTGAGGCAGGAAGGTCGCGAGTTCAAAGCCAGCCTCAGCAAAAGCAAGGCACTAAGCAACTCAGTGAGACCCTGTCTCTAAATAAAATACAAAATGGGGCTGAGGGTGTGATTTGGGCTACAGCTTATTTCTTCTTATGATGAATGACTTATTGCCCTCAGATGTTACTTCACTCCGTGTCTGTCCCTGATGATAGCCAGCCTACTGGAGCCCATCCTCATCACCTGTACCTGACCAGCCCCTACCCATGCCTGGGTGGCTCCACTCCCAGCTGAGGCACTGCATCAGCTCAAGGAGGTGCTGCCCCTGTGGGACCCAGAAGGGGAAAAAGGGTCAGGACTTCAGGCCCACCCACCTGCCTGGTGAGGAAGCCAGACTGCCCACTTTCTTTTCCCATTCCTTCACTTCTCTACTCCTTTTTCCTCCTCTGACTTCCTTCCTGCCCAGGTGAACTTTGCACTCCATGGCTGACTTTCTGTCCTCCCCACAGGGCTGAAGGAGCCAGGAGACTTGGTGGGGAAGGTATCAAATACCAGAGGGACAGAATCAAATGGGAGCTCTGAATCAGCAAGAGCCCAGTGGGAACTGAAAGGCTAGAAGCAGCACCTGGTGGAACTGTGGGTGAAGTTCAGCCACCTGGTGGACACCCTGCTCTTCCACCTTTTTCTGATCTTCTACTTCTACCTGCTCTTCATGGCCTCCCTCATCACTACAGTCAATGTCCTCTGGAACACCTAGGCTGATGAGCTTTTCTTGTGTTCAAAAGCCAGCCAACTCTCAAGCCTATCCAGATTTCAGCCTCACTGGCCTGGCAACCATGTGGTTTTCAACCCTATTCTTCTGTGCATTTTCAGAACCCACCTGGATATTTTCCTATGCCCTTCAATAGCTCCTGTATGCTATCAGCTCCACTCAGCCCTCCCCCAAGTCCTATAATCTTACATCCTCAGGATTCGGGTTCCCAGAATACTTCCTGAAGCAATCACCCCCCCCCAAAAAAAAACCCTTGAAGAAGGTGTCAGTTCTTCCTTTTTTTTATATTACAGTCAAAAAACTTAGAGTTGAGAATCCTCTTGCATAAACTTCCAATTATCAAAACAAGAATTTTATTGTGTGTTTTTAAAAATTGTATTCAAGTAGGGGCATGGAGAAGAAGGGACTAAAATCTATTAGAAGGAATTATAATAAAATAGAGATTAACCTCTTAAATCCATCTACTCTGGATTTCAGCTTCAGAAATTAATAATGTGCCAGAACAGGGCCTCTCTTGCTTAAAGAGTGAGGCCTTTTGTCACAGCCTGGCATATGACTCATTCATCATTAAGCACTTTGAGTGTTAACATAATCCTGTATTACCATTCAGTGTCTGTGCTGCAATTTGAGTTGATCTACCTTTTCTATTCATGCTAAGAAAAGAACATTAAGCCTAGGGAAGCACATTTGAAAGTGGCATTTACTTGGGAGAAACATAAATGCCCCCATACATAATTGGAAAATTCCTTTTCCTAGCATTGGCCCTACAATTTTGAAAATCTTTGTTGGCCCATCTCTCCCATTAGCTGCCTCAGGTATACAGAAGCTCAATGTATCATTCTATAGGAGAGCTCTGGTATGATTTGTTGGACTCCCAAAGTTCAGAAAAAAAGAGATTTGAGAATGACTTAATTATAACTCAAATATAATCTTTTATTTTTAGCAATTATTTCTTTCCCTTTCTTTCATTTGTTCTTTTACTTTGTTTTGTTTTGGTATTGGAGGTTGAACCCAAGGGTGCTTTGACACTGAGCTATATCCCAGCCCCCTGCCTTTTCCTCCCCGAGACAGGGCCTCACTACATTGCTCAGTCTGGTCTCGAACCTGTGGGCTCAAGCCATCCTTGCATTTCAGTCTCCTGGGTAGGTGGGGCTATGGGTGTATGCTGCCATGCCCAACAACTTCCACTACTTTCTTTTTGAAGTCTATATTTTCTAGGTCAGAATAGTCCAGTAGTAAAAAAGAGTCACAACATTACTCATTAAACATTATTTCTCAGCCATGTGCAGTGCCATAGGCCTGTAATTCTAGTGACTCAGGAGGCTGAGGCAGTTCCATTCCATCCTGGGCAATGTAACAAGACCCTATCTCAAAAATTAAAAAAAAAAAGCACCAGGCACAGTGGCACATGCCTGTAATCCCAGTAGCACAAGGGACTGAGGCAGAAGAATCAGAAGTTCAAAGCCAGCCTCAGTAACCTAGTGAGACCCTAAACAACTTAGTGAGACCCTGTCTCAATATAAAAAATAAAAAGAACTGGGGATGTGGCTCAGTGGTTAAGCACCTCTGGGTTCAATCCCTGGTACCAAAAAGTAAAAATAAAAAAGTTTTAAAATCTGGGGATGTATTTCAGTGGTAAAGCACTCCTGAGTTCAATCTCCAGCACTGGAAAAAATGATTTTATATATATATCCTTTCCACTGCTTTTCCTTGTAGTCTTCTGCCCCTTCTGTCACTGTAGATGCTTGAAGAGTAGTAAGATTGCCAAGGAGCTGGCAATAGTAAGATTACCTGAGGAGCTGCTGATGGGGTTGCCAGAGGCTACCAAAGGTCCTATCCACATGTTCCCTTCTAAACCTCTGCTCTCAGAGCCAAAGCCACTGGAAGCTGTATCCTGTGGTTGCAGATGCTCCCAGCTGGATGCTGAGTCAACAGGACCAGCTGTGACTTGCTCTTTCCTTGAAGTCCTTCTGTTGGGACTCAGAAGTCTGCAGGAATTGGAAGTATTGAGTCAGAAATACCCTATAATGTTCTGAATTGCTCCTTTCTCATGACCTTCAAACTAAATCAATGTCCTTCATTTTCCTTTTAGGATCCCCCTCCCCAAGATCTTTGGCTGCTCAGTTTTCAGAATCCTGCCAGACACTCCCCATCACCAGTCCTCCAGGCATAAACAAAACACATTCAAAACCTGCTACATATATAACCTAGGCTCAGAGCCCTGGTGCAACTAAATAAATGATTGCATCTGTTATTACTCTAGCAGTTCCTCGACTTACCACATACTACAAGGTGGGTTGTCAGAAAGGAGTCAGTAATAACAATAACCAGTGTTTATTAAGTTCTGATATGTAACAGGTTCTCTTCTAAATGCACTACACAAGTCATGAGTGAGCATTATGCCATCAATGCAGACAAGACACATTTGTGTGTTTCCACAAGGTCAGGATTTATTAACAATAACCCCACATGCTACATCACTTTCATCAGCATGTTATACTTCATATATATATATATATATATATATATATATATATGTATATATGTATGTATCTTACTAAATAAGGTAAGAAAGGGTAAACAGTGATAAAGGGTTTCAAGAAACCTTATTAAGAGCAAAGGCAGAGAGAAGATGCAAATGCAAAAGCAAAAGAGTCACTGCAGGTGGTCTGATAAGATTATGAACCAACCTAAGAACTTACTCAGGGTGCAGAGCTATTCAGGTCACAGAAGTTATTCAAAGCAAAAATGCAGCCAGCAGGAATTTGGGAGGAGCAGGCACAAGGAACTGAGTTGAAGCCCAGGACAGAGTCAGGGTTTGTGGCCTGATAAGATGACTGGTCAGTACTGTGCCAGGTCTTAGGTGGCCCTCCTTTTATGTGCTTCAGGTGAGAGGGTTAACTCATTCCATGGCCCAGTGTGTCTGATAAGCTCAGGGACTGGTTCCTCTGAAACAGGTTTGATATGTCCATGAATCCATGAGCTGCTAATTGAATTTGATAAGTTTGTGGTCATCTTTTACTATCATGATTCATTTTTCAGTTTGTACCTTGTGATGATGCTGAGCAACGGGGAGTTTCAATAAATTCTGTATGTCCCATCTGGTGGTTATCTAGTTGCCCAATAGAGCTACCAGGTCATTTTTCCATAGCACTTGTTCTCAGATTGGAGTGGCTCTTGGCAAACAGACACTTTATAAAATGGAGTCACTCAGCGCAGAGCACTACCTGAAAGCTGCTATTCCATACAACATAAAATAGCTCAGAGCAGGGCATAGCTTGCTCTCACAGTGAATTAGCACATTTCATCCTTATGTAACACTATAGATTCAAATACCCATATTGTCAAATGTGTTCTGGAATTTGAAATATTTCAGATCTTAAAAAGGTAATAATTGTGCATGGACTATGTGATCTGGAGGTGGTTTGTCCCTACCAAAACTCACACTGAGGCTTGGCCCCAGTGTAACCATGTTGAGAGATAATGGGGCCTGTAAGATGGAGCATGGGTCACAAGGGATCCCTCTCATGGAATGATTAATGTAGTTCCCATGAGAACAGATTGTTATAAAGCATTGGTCCTCCTTTACTCCCTCCTTTCTTTTGCATTTACTTGCTTTTCTCTTGCTTTTGAAGTAGCATGAGACCCTCATTAGAAGCCAAATGGATACTGGTCCCATGTTCTTGGATTTCTGAAATGGAGTTAATAAACCTCTTTCTTTATAAATTATTCAGTCTCATGTGTTCTGTCGTAGCAACAGAAAACGGACTAACATACACTTTCATCATTCTTTTCTAGAGAGCGTATATTCCAAAATCTAATCTGGGCAGGGCATTTTTCCTCTGTACTCTATCAAGATTTTCTTTTTTTTTTTTTTTTTGCTGTTGACATATATTCTGCTGCCAGACATGTATGAATCTTCTACTCCTATGCCTTGTCCTGAGATGGCCATCTCCCCTAGAAACTAAGCCTTGGCTCTTTGCTGAGTGGCTCATCTATCCAGCTTTTGAGGGGTTCTGAAATTATTTAAGATCAGTTTACACCATTTGCCTTGCACCTATTTTCATTTACATATTTCTTTGCTTCTTTTCTTACCCTTCCTTCCAAAATGTTGCTTTAAGTTTTATTTGAATAGAAAAATCTGCAGTTCACCTTCTTTGACACATGGGTTAAGATTCTATATTTCCTTTTGGTAAGAGAAGACATAATGTCATTTAGTGATTTGATTTTTTCCGAAAGCAAAATCTGAACATGCGCTCTTAACACATAACTCCAAATCTCACAGAGCCTTTGAAATTAGAGCTCTCCCACAAAATTAATAGGTGTGGTTGCTGCCTTTCTGTTCCACCCATGAGAATCAGGATCAGCACACTTTGTGCTAACAACTCTCCTTTTGTTATCAGGCAAATCCCTGAAAGGTTCTGCAAGGCAATTTATGGCAATTTGTGGCAATTTATGTCCTCTGTCATCTTGCAGGGGATGGCCTGTGATGACCTGTCTGCCGAGTAGCTGCCCAACACCTTGGCCATCCATGCATAGTGCTGTCCTGTGGGTTTTGCACTTATTTTTGTTCACTTTCGTGTTCCCTAAACCATTGTAAGCAGTACTTCTTCCTGTTTTCCACATTTCCCTTTGGTTCCACACTAGCCTGACATTAGAATATTTTACCTCATGACCACCTTTGCCTCCCACTCTCCCTTCCTTCAGGTCCATAGGATGTGAAGTCACAGACTGTTTCAAGCATGTTCTTTTTCTCACCTCCAATTTCTGATTCTCCCTTGAACATCCTCTCTTATTTAATCATTCGTTGGCTCTACGAATTCTCCTACCACAGTAAGGGGAAAAGGTACAGTAGAAAGACACTGGAAATTGACAGCCCTGGGTTTTAATCTGACTCCATCACTTGATAGGGTAACCTTGGAACTAATGAAGAAATTTAAACTTATAAAGTTAAGCCACTTGTATCTGCCTAAAGTAGAGCTAATAACACAGGTTAAGTTTATTGCTTTTGAAAAATTATTTATGGGCTGGAGGATATAGCTCAGTGATAGAGTACTTGCCCAGCATGTATAAGGTCTTGGTTCAATACCTAGTGTGGGGAGAGAAAGAGAGAGAGAAGAGGGAGAGGGAGAGAGAGAGAGAGAAAAAATAGACCTTTTAAAAAATCATTTTGGGGTTTATAGAAACCAAAAAGCTAAATATGCAATATTAGAGAGCACTCATTTTTCATGCAGGCTGAGACCTAAAGTACAAAATAGACTTGTAGGCGGGAGGCAAGAGACATAAAGAATTGCAGATTTTCTAGCTCAGCCCCCTCAGTTTTTAGATGAGAAAAATTAAGTAGGGAGAAATGAAGTGACAAGTACAGGTTGTCACAATTCAACAGAGCCTGGGGTCAGAGTCTAGTCTGTGAAGGCGTCAGCCACGGGCGAAGACTTGTCCATGGTACTTGTTTCTCAGATGCTTCTCAGGAGTCCCAGGATTATTGCTCTCTTGTTCCTGAGCGGCACAGAAGCCTGCTCCCAGCTAAGTGGCCCATCCTGTACTGGGGGTTCTTCAGCTACCCTCTGTACTCTTGGTTCTCTTGCCTGGCCAGTGGCCTCTGTATATGACTGCCCTCCATCTGGGCTGCAGAATGGAGACCCTCACTTACCAACTCCTTCTGCATCAAATTCTATGCTCCCAAATTACAGCATTATCCCAAACCTAATCTCCCAGAGTCCCAGATGAATTGGGCCAGCAGGCGGACCACACAGTGTGATATCTTGGAATAAACTGAGGAAACAGGTGTTGGTGATTGTTTGCACAACTGCAGCAAATAGTACTGTCTCCACTGTTCACCTTTGGCTCTAAGCACTGTCTAAGCCCAGGGATTTCTCTGATGGAAACCTAGGGGCCTAATTTCCCAGTCCACGAGACTCTCTAGCTATGGATTAATGAAAAAAATGAGAAAAGAATAACATAATCAGATTAATCTGGCTTTGAATCTGGATTCTGCCAACATCTACTGAACAAAATGTTTTTAAACCTTTCTGCTCCTTTGTTTTCTTAACAATAAAATGATCTCTCAAAGCAGTCATGAGGACATGAATACTTTAAGTGCCTAACAAGTATAGGGCAGATGACACAAACTATGACACAAACACCATGGGACGAGTAGTTAATTTCTCTGATATGGGGCTGGGGATGCAGCTGAGTGGTAGAGCACTTGTCTAGTATGTGTGGGATCCTGGATTCCCAAGGTTGGACTGCAAAAAAAAAAAAAATAAAGGTAAATTTAAAAATTCTCTGATATGGTATCAGGACTCCCATGAGTTTCCTAATCACCTTTCTATATCTGCCTAAAGCATTGGTGTCCCCTCTCCCCATGGTGAACTAAAGTATTCAAAAAATATTTCTACTGCCTACTCTTGTATACCATATATTAGAGGTCTGAAGATGATAAGTTTCCTGCCCTCCAAAAGGTTACAGAGCTGGAGGGAGATGTACATATAAAGATGTTTTAAATTTAAGGGTCATGGTAGAGTACAGGAGTTTATTTGCATCTGTGTGTGTTTATGGGTGAGCATGTGCACACATGTGACTGTGAAAGAAAGCCTTCATAGAATGGGTGCTTAAGTCAAGCTGAATCTTTCTTTACAAATTTACTAATAAGTCAGGAGAACAATGGTGGTTATATTTTAAGATTGAGGAAATTATAAAGAAGAAAAATCATGACTGGCCCTGTGGCTCATGCCAGCAACTCAGGAGGTTGAGACAGGAGAATTGCAAGTTCAAGATCAACCTGGACAACTTAATAAGACCCTGTCTCAAAATAAAAGATAGGACTGGGAATGTAGTGGGTTCCAACACCAGTAACCACCACCACCCTGTCCAAATCACACTACAT